GGGGCTAAAGCCTGGGTGAGAGGCCTCAGGTCCTGGGGGAGTCTCTGAGGCCAGAGGCAACATGTCTCCATGGCGACTGAAGAGGCTTGAGACACTCCCAGAAGGTCCAAGGCGCCAGCTCTCTACTCTGATTCCATCCACAAACTCCCCAATGCCCTGGGGGTACCCCCAAAGTAAACAGTCCTGGGGCAGGGGCAGGGGCTAAAGCCTGGGTGAGAGGCCTCAGGTCCTGGGGGAGTCTCTGAGGCCAGAGGCAACATGTCTCCATGGCGACTGAAGAGGCTTGAGACACTCCCAGAAGGTCCAAGGCGCCAGCTCTCTACTCTGATTCCATCCACAAACTCCCCAATGCCCTGGGGGTACCCCCAAAGTAAACAGTCCTGGGGCAGGGGCAAGTGAAATCTAGTTGCATCCCATTTCTTCTGGACAAATAAGTATCTCTAGGGGGACCGCCAGCAGCTCCTGACCAACGATTTTTTTCTCTTCTGTTCCCATCCTTGCTGCCACCTGGTCGCTCTTTCTTCTATTCCTTTAGCCTCTTCATCGCTTTGTCTTTCCCAGGGATTATTCCTTACTCAGCTGCAACCCAACACATCCACGGAGCCACAGTGAACACCTCCCTTCCACATTAAGACACAACCAAACCACAACACGATTGTCATCATCAGAACACATAGGCCAAGTTCCCACTGTGTGATCAGCATGGTACTAGACCCTGAGGGGACATGGTCATATTCGTAAGAGATAACACACGTGAAAAGATGAGGCAATTGAGCCTCTTAAACGTGGAGTGGGAAATGCCTTAGTGAAGTTTCCCAGCTTGTTCCACTGTTCCTTCTGCTACTAGCTGCTACTATTTTTTCGTCCTTACACAAGGTGCAGTGTACCATACTCAGCACTTTTTGTGAATTAGCTCATTCAAGGCTCATAACTCTTGGTGACATAAGTCATTACAATGCTCATTTTCCAGGAGGGAAAACTGGTTAGTGCTGGACTCAGAATTCAAACACAAAGCATCAGGAAATCTGATTTCCAGAGTCTGCTGTTACCCATAATGCTTTACCAGAGGAGTCCCCTAATTAAGTCCGTTTGGGGAGTAAGAGATGCACTATCACATTAGCCTATTAAAGGCTCTGCAACACCTGCAACAAAGGTGGGGGACCCGTTAAACTTTGTGTAACTCGGGGTTTTCCAAATTTATTTGACGGTGGTGCCCCTCCCTTTGAGGAACACAGTGTGGGAAAACCCACATAGGACATGGGAGTGGGTTCCTGGAAGGAAAATGTCAGACGTGAGCCAGCTCTTCAGTGACGAGCAGGAGTTGGGCAGGAGGTTCAGCCGAGTGAGCCGGCTCCTGAGGCAGGAGTGAGCATGGCCAAGTTGGGGACAGGGAGAGGCAGAAAGGGTAGCATCAGGGCTGGAGTGGAGGGTATAGGAGAGAGCTGAGAGATGAGATGGGAAGAACTGGAAGTTGTAGAGTGCACAGATGCCTGGCCAAAAGTTCCTTAATGGGAAACGGGAGCCCTTGAAAGCTCATGAGTTTTGGGTGAACTGAGTTTTAGAAAGTTCACCAGAGCATGTAGTAGCTATAAATGGGGTAGAGGTGAATGTATAGGATTGAAACTCCAAGGTCCGGACAAGGACGGTGGCCGTGGGGACAATGGGTGATGGGTAGATTTGGCTAAACTTGGGGAGAAACGACCTCTAGGACTCAAAGGATGATTGGATATAGGGTAGGGATTTGGGGGAATGGGTATGACAGCTCCCAGGATTCCCAGGTGTACATCATTCTTCTGTGTCTGGGTGATGGCATAGTGACGAAATTGTTGCCCATGCACAAGGTGATTGAAGATAAAGAGGAATTGAGTTTCAGACTTGTTGAATCTGAAGGGTCAGTAGAGACAGCCAATAGGAAATATACCCAGCAAATGTCTAGAACTTCAGGACCAGCGTCAGAGAGATTTTGGATCTAGGCTTTTTAAGATATGATAGTGATAGAATTATAGGGAATGTTTAGAGTTGAGGATGCCCAACCTTCCATTTTACAGAAAAAAAAAATCATAGGAAAAAAGGCCCAAGTGACAAGTTTTGGATGACCAGGTGTAAGTTTTTGGGGGACGGAAGGCCGCTAAGCTACCATCTTGGGGAAAACTGGGAAGAGAAGCACTGGACGACCAGTCTGCCCGCAGACCCCTCCTGGAGACTCCTTTACCACATCCCAGCCCCAGGTCAATTGTGGGGACCTCATCTGTCATCACCCTGACTCTTTGGTGTTTTGGATCACAACATGGATCCCGAGAAGGGTTGTCTATTCCTGAAGATAAGGTGGGAGCCAAGTTGGGAAGGCAGTTCTGAGCCGCCTTCCCAACAGCTTACCTCAGCTGCCTTGAATGGGATGAAGATTGTGATGGATCAGGAGGTATCGGGAGGATGGGTCTGTAAACCCGGGGTCCCCTTTTCCAGCCTTCTTGATAAGCTCCTACTGAGGGTTTTAGAGTAAAGACAAAGCACCAGTGAAGTCCTAGAGGATTAGAGGGAACCTGGAGACTCAGCAGCAGCAGGGCCTGGGCCTGAGCTGCTCCCATCCCCCGGCTTCTGGGGGCCCTGGGTTTCTGCCCTCCACAACTCCTCATGTCTGGATGGCAGCAAAATCAGTGGCAGTCCCAGGTGGGTGTTTCAGTGGCTGGTTGGTTGTACCAAGTGCCAAGTTGAGGCTGCCAGGTTCTTGGGAGAATCCTTAACCTGAGGCAGGCACCCAGGGCTGCTGGCTGGGAGCAGCCTGTCCCAGTTCCACTACCCCCACCCCAACCCCCCATACAGGCTTCTAAGTCCTGGTTCCACTGAGCCATGGCCCCTCCCAGAAGCTCCTTCCAATTTCCTAGAAGGAGTCTCTCTTTGAGGCCAGCCTTCCTAATTGCTGATGGATGCCAGGCCCCTCCCCCTATGCCCAGGTCTTCCTGGGCCCTGTACCCTACAGTTAATACTCTGTTTCCTGATCTGGAGGATGGGGGAGTTTCCATTGTTCTGCTTCCCCACCCCCCAAGGGGCCCCGGTTTGTTACCAGGCTCCCTTTCCTTCTTCCCCTCCCACCTTTTCTACTCCCAGGCCTCTCTAGAGGGGAATGAAGTGGGGACAAAGGGACTCAAGTGGGAGGGGACGCAGCAGGGAGTCCTGAGGCTGCTTACAACTCGAAGCAGGGCTGGGAACCAAGGATCAGAAAGACACTGGGATCTCTTTTGGATGGAGGCAATGGAAAGTTAAAGAGCAATGAGACAGGTGAGAAGCTGAAGTTCAGGGGTGCTGTTTGGAAATTAGGGAACTGCACTGGTATTGGTGAGCTCTTTCGGAATGAGGAGTCCATACTGCTTTAAGGAAGCTGTTCTGGAAATCCGAAATCCGGAAGCTTGCTCCTGACTGAGGCTATGCTGGAATTAGGGGAGTTGGCTGGTATTGTGCTCTTCTGGCGTGGGCTGTTCTGGAATTAAAGGCTGTGCCGATACTGGGAAGCTGTGCTGTGACGAGTGGTTGTACTGGATTAGGCTTATTGTGGTGGCCTGGGGCTACAATAACACTGGGGCCTGTGCTGTGGTGGGACCTGCAGTGTGTGGACTTGGCTCTCCTGGGAGCTGTCCCAGAATTAAGGGGCTCCTCCATCGTGGTCTGCGCTTTCTTGGGGGCGCTGCTGTGCTAGGGGGCTGGGCCTCTTCTCTATTGCTGCTGAGGCCTGGGGGGCCGGGAGCTCTGGGGCGGGCCTGGCTGGGGCTGGGGGTCGCTCTGGTGGTGGGCCCCCCAGGGCAAGCTGGCCTGCCAGCAGTGACCCTCCTTCTCCCCGCAGTTACCTCACCGACGCGTCACCTTCTCCGCCACCAGTCAGGCCCAAGAGCTGCAGGACCCGTCCCAGCACAGTTACTATGACAGTGGCCTGGAGGAATCTGAGACGCCATCCAGCAAGTCATCCTCGGGACCCCGACTCGGTCCCCTGGCTCTGCCCGAGGACCACTATGAGCGCACCACCCCCGATGGCAGCATAGGAGAGATGGAGCACCCCGAGAACGGTGAGGAGCTTCAGCATGGACAGGGCACCCCGGGAATGGGTAGGAGTAGAGAACAGGGATGAGACTTGGACAATAGCCTCCATTTATTGAGCTCTTGTGTGTTCAGCGGCGCTCACTGAGCCGAGTGCTTTTAGCTATATATTCATTTAATCCTCACAACTGCTCTCTGATCTGAGAACTTTACTGTTCTCTTCACAAGTGCAGGGAACGTGAGGCTCGGAGAGGTTGAGTCACTTACCCAAAGTAAGACAGAGGAAGTAACAGAGCTGGCAGGGATGCAAAGGCTACTCTGACTCCGAAGATCTTGCCCTGGGCACCACAGTGTGCGGCCTTCCTGGGAACAGGGACTCAGGCAGCACTGAGGGAAACTGGAGGGAACCTTGAAGTCATGACAGTCCCTTAATGGGGTCAGAGGGCCTTGAGAAAAGGAAGGGGCCCTTGGATGCTCAGAGGAGCTCAGAAGAGGGTATGATGATCCCCTGAGGGGAGGAACCAGACAGGATCTGGCTGAGGGAAGGGAGTGGGGAGGTCTGGGGACGGGAGAGGCCTGCCTGGGAGGGGTTTGAAGGGTGGTGGCAGAAGGAAGGTCTGGGCCAGAGCAGAGGTCAGTGTGGGAATGGATAGTGGGTGCACTTTCAAAATGTGTGTGTGTGATGCATATGCGTGTGTGTGTGTGTGTGTGTAGGGATCCATGGTAGCCTCTGGAGGGGGAGAACAAAGAAGCTTCCCCTTGGGACTGAAAGACTCCCCAGCTTGGAGCTGTCATTCGGTCTTGCCCTCTCCCTCAGTCCAAACTGCCCCCCCAAAAGATGAAAAGTTCTACTCCTCACCCCTCAGGCACAGGGCCCTTGTCTAACATTCCAGGCCCTAGGTCTCAGAGTGCCCTCCACCCCACCCTGCCCCTCCGTGCTCTATCTCATGCCCGTCTCGTCCTTTTTGTGCCCGCGCAGAGCCGGCTGGCCGGAGCAGGCCCTGAGGCAGAGTGCCAGGTATGTGGGAGCTGCTCTGGGGTCTGGGGTCTGTGGGACTTGGCCCAGCACCCAGCCCCGCCCGCCCAGTGACCTTGTTCTGCTCTATGCCATGTTGGGTCCCCCAACCATGAGCTGAAGAGCCTTGGTGCTTTGAGGGTTAATGACAGAGCTGTCCCCTCCTCACCTTGCACTGGCAGGAGGCCAAGCCAGGGTGGGTGATACCAGGGGAGCCCCGGCCCCAGGCAGTTCTGCTCAGTCATGTCCCTGAGGGAGGGTCACCGCCTGGTACTGTCCCTGAGCAAGGGCGGGACAGGGACAACTATGACAGGAAGTGCTCCTGGCCCAGCCGTTCCCATGGAGACCCCTGCTGCCCAGCAACCACACTGGCTACTGATGTCAGGCGGCCAACTCCTGTTCCCGTGGGTGTTCTGGGCAGGGAGCCGGGGCTAGGCCAGGGGCGGTGGTTGGCATAGGGGGCTGGAGTGTGGTGGGGAGGGGTTGCATGAGTGTGCTTGTGAGGATGCGAGTGTGTGCTTCTATGTGAACTCCCCACTACCTTCTCCCTGGCTTTAAAGGAGGGCCTCACTGTGTTGGGGTAAGGTGGGGTTCTAGGATAGCTGGGAGCACAGTGAGGTTTGGGAGGGGTTCAGAAGGAAGGTATTTGCCCACCTTCATCTGAGGCTGGAGAAGCCCAGTATAGATTTGTGTGTCGTGTCTATTGAGGGTAGGTGTGTGTGTGTGTGTGTGAGACAGAGAGAGAGAGAGAGACAGACAGACAGAGATATTGGACCCTTAAATGAGGATGGGGGTTTCCTCACCCCTAAAGATAGATTTGCTTCTTTAAGCCTGTCTGGAGATAGATGAGGGAGGGTGTAGATGGGTTCTGTGTTTGTGCACCTGTCGGAGGGCAGATTTGGTGGGTGTGTTGATAGGAGAGCTGGAGGGTGGCTGAGGATGGAAGTACGCATCTATTTCAGGGTAGACTGTATGAGAGAGAAGAGCCTGCGGTGGGCGGCAGGAGGCTGTGTGTCTATTTGCGGGTGTGTACGCCTGCCAGCTCAGTGGGCAAAAGGGGCATGCACCCCTGTCCCGAGGCAGAGCAGAGGTGCCCATGGGAAGCCCTGGAAGGGAGCTTTGCAATGTTACTCTGCCTGAAGACTGTCCTCCCCGTTCTCTTGCACAGACCTGCGCCCTTTGCCTGATGTTGCCATGACGGGCACATGTACCCAGGAGTGCAGCGAGTTTGGCCACTCTGACACGTGCTGGATGCCGGGCCAGTCATCTCCCAGCCGCCGGACCAAGAGCAGCGCCCTCAAACTCTCCACCTTCGTGCCTTACCAGGACCGAGGAGGGCAGGAGCCTGTGGGTGCCGGCAGCCCCAGCCCCCCGGAAGACCGGAACACCAAAACGGCCCCCGTGCGCCTCCTGCCCTCCTACAGTGCCTTCTCCCACAGTAGCCATGATTCCTGCAAGGACTCGGCCACCTTGGAGGAAATTCCCCTGACCCAGACCTCGGACTTCCCACCTGCAGCCACACCGGCATCTGCCCAGACAGCTAAGCGTGAGATCTACCTGTGAGCCCCCTTCCGGCCGGTGGCCATACCCCACCCCAGCCACCGGCCAGGCCCCAGTTGGGCCCATTCCAGGGTCCTGCTCCTGACCCCCTTCAGCGTGGACTTCCCAGCCAGGACCCCAAGTGGGGTGAGTACTGGCCTCGTGACCACGCAGGCCCTTCCCCCAAGCAGGGTCCAGGTCCTCTCTCCTCACTTCATCCCCCAGCACCTGGGAGCCCTTCTTCCCCTTTATGGGGCTCCCCCCAGCTGGTGCCCAAGAGGGCTCCTCTATAATGACTAGGCTCCCTTCCCTCGATTTCCAGGGAGCACCCCCTTACTTTGGGCAGATGGTGGAGTCAAGGGTGGGCAACACACTTTTAACTCATTGTTTCCCACATGGCCGACCAGGGTGGAGACAGGATGTCACCATTCCAGCCCTGCTGCAGGGCTGAACTGGGGAGCCCCTCTCCTTGGGAACTCCCAGAGGAAACTCAACCACCAGGGGCTCCCTGAAGGGCTTTTATTACCAAAGGTGGGGTGGGGATGGGGTGGGAGTGGGCCGGAGGCCTTGTCTTCCTATACTGCTCCTGGGCTCGCCCACCTGCCTGCCACGTGCCCCTGCCTGATCCCATCTGGGCACCCCCCTTCCCTGCTGGTCATGCAGTGTCTGTATATAAGGACCTTGGAATGATGTCCCCATTTCTGCCTGATTTGCAACTTTTCTTGTTGATGTTGTGTTGTCTTGGGGGACCCCTCTGGGTGGGGGGAGGCTGCTCTGTGCCCCCTCCTCCCTGCCGCAGTGCCCCCCACCCCAGGCCTCTACTGTTCCATGTTGTAAATACCCCTGGGGCCGTAGTGGGATGGGGGTGCAGGCCAGGGAAACAGTGGTGGGTGGGGGTGGGGATGGGGGTAACATTCGCCTATCAGCAGAGCTGGGCTTTTATTTAATTTTTTTTAAAAATACAAATCTCTATTTTTTTGGAACTGTTGCGCTGTGCCCTGGGGGGGGGAATCCCCGCTCAGGCTGGCCCCCCCACATCCAGATGAGCATCACAGAGGGGCCCTGAGGCTGTGGGGGGCAGCTGGACAGGGGTGGGATGACTGTGCCTCTGGCCTGGTTGGGTGAGTTGGGAGCAGGAAGGTTTGCTCAAGGGGTGGCTGGTTGCTGCCTCTAATAGGGGGAACCTGCACCCTGCCCCCTCCCTGCCCCTCAACCCCCAGCCCCTGCCATGACTGACCCGTCAGCCTGTAAAACCACCATTGCCTTGATCTCAGGGGGTGGGAAGGGCTGCCTCAGGGCACCCTGGGCTCCAGGCCCCCTTCTTCCAGTTGGGCTTCCCTTTGCCAGGGTCAGGGGTCCCCTGGGGGAGGGGGTGGGAAGATTGGGGGGCAGAGAAGCCCAGTCAGCCATGATGAGGTGGGATTCCTTCCTGCACCTCAGGGGGCCAGGGTGTGAAGGGCATCCTACAGAGCCCTCATCTCCCACTGTGGCCATCTCAAAGCCTCAGTCCCTCTTCCTTCCAGAAACCCCCCCACTGCCTTGGCCCATACCTCTCCAGCTCCCCAGGGGCCCAGGCTGGGAGGCTGGAGACTCAGGGTATGGCCCTTGCTTGACTTAGTCTAAGCTTGGGGGGTGGCCCAAGGGTGGGAGGGGTGGGTACAGGCTGCTGGGCTGTCTGGTGCCTTTGGGAGCTGTGCTGCTGGGGTCTTGACTCCTGTAACCCCAGACACCCCACTCCACCTCGGGAAAGCCAGGGGCCTGAAGAATCACCCTATTCTCTGCTCCTTGCCCCTAACTTGGCTTGGGGTAACAGTGCTGGGAAGGAGAGCATTGTTAGGCTGGTAGCCTCAGCACACACAGCCCTTCTATTGAGGGCAGAGGGTAGAGTGGGCTGGGGTGGCAGCAACCAGGTCTGGGGGTTGGCCAAAGGCTCCTTTCCCTGGGGGAAGCCCAGAAGTGGGCTGTGGGCTTGATAAAGAGCCTCCTTCCCCCTGCACAAACAGGGCAGGTGCAATAGCAGTAGAGTTGGTAACATGGTGTGCCCAGCTGGTGGGGCAGTGGCCTCAAGGGCTGTCCTGTGTCCTGGAGGTCAGGGTTCTGGCAAGAAGATTGTATGAGGCCCATTTGCTTGGTGGAGTGGGCAGTCCAGACAGGAAGCATTCCTGGAGTCAGTGGACTCCCCTGGAAGCCCCTGGTGGCCTGGGCACCCTGCCCTGGTCTTGGGGACCCCTGAGCACCGAGTGGAAGGGTGGAGGAGCATTTTGCACAATGGAGAAGCCAGAAGGAAGGGGGTAGCCCAGGTGGCTGGGAGGGCTGAGAAGCACAGAGGAGGAGCCCTTCCTACAGGCAAAGGCAGAGTTCCAGCCCCCTGGTTGGGGTCAGGGCGCTGAGTCTGTCACCCCCTGGGTACTAGAGAGGTGAAACCAAAGGTGGGCAGGGGATGGGTGAAAGCACCAGGGACCACCCCTATTGGTCCTAGGTCTATGAAGCCCTTCCCCAATGCCTTGTGTCGCGTACAGTTTTATGTACAAACAGGCGACATTTGGCCAGAGGAGACCCCCCTCAAACCCAGCCTGACCCAGTCAGTGTCTTCCTAGAGGGGACCTAATTGGTCCCCAACCCCCTACTTCAGAGCATGTCTCTTGGTAGGGGGAGGGTATATGGGGACGTATTTCTCTCCTGGGGTCCCTGAAGCCTGTCTCACATCCCTGGGGGAGGGTCTCTGGGGCATCTCTCACCTCCGAGGGCTCCCTCAGCCCTATCTCTCCCTTTGGGAGTCTCTGGAGGGACATGTATTCCCTCTGGGGACCATGGGAGCATGTCTCCCCCCTACCCAGGCTCTCTGGGGAGCCTGTTTTCCTCCCAGGGTTCCTGGGAGTACTTAAGGCATGTCAGTCTTGGGCCATCTCTCTTCCCAGGGAAGGGGGCTATCTCTGAAGCATGTCTGGGAAGGGATGTTTCTGGCCCTCCCTGCATCTCTCCTCTAGGGGCGTCTCTGACCTGCAGCACTTTTGGGATGAGACGGACAGCTCTGAGTTGTCTTTTCTCCTGGAGGCTCTGGGATACCTCTCTCCTGAGGATCCGGCCGCTGGAGCCATTTCCTCCCTGGATGTGGGCTATCTCCTGGTATTGGGAAGGCTTATGTTGGCCAAGAGAAAGTCTCTTAGGGGGCGTCTCCACGCGGGACTTCTCTGGGAGGGGGGGACTGTGTCTCGCCCATGGGGTTCCCGGGCGGGGGTGTCTGCCCGTGGGGAGAGGGAGACTGTGTCTCCTCGGGTTATCTGAGTGGGGAGGGGGGGCCGTGTCTCTCTCGTGTGTTGGGGGGTGGGGTTCGGGGAGGGGGGATTTGGGCTGTCGGATGCCCACACTGGGGTCGTGTTTCTCTTGGTTCGTGCCACTTCCCCCCGCCCCGCCCCCCCCGGGGAGGGCCCCCCCCCCCCCCCCCCCCCCCCCCCCCCCCCCGCCCCATCCCTGGCGCTGCGAGCACAATCCCGTTGATTTGTAATGATTTCTGTCTCTTTACGTCTTTCTCTTTCTCTGACCTCCCCCCCCTCCCCCGCCGCGAGCATGCGCAGGCACCGCCCCTACCCTCTCCGGTTCGGTTCGTTTCCGGTTTGTTTGCTGAGCTGTCAATGGAAGACCCGTGTAATTATTCCCGAGCTTTACAATAAAAGTGTGAAAACCGGACCCCACCTCACTTCTTCCGGGCCCTCAGGCCTGCGTCCCGGGGAGACTGGGGACTCATTCTGGGATAGAGGCCTTGGAGGGAGCCAGGGGACGCGGCCGAGAGAAGAGGGAAGAGAGACCCATTGGGATTAATCGGTGCCACTCTGGAATGGGAAGCAAAAGGAAGCCGACGGAGGACAGACATCTACTCCATTCATGTCAAAGTGCCTCCCTCCCCCAACCTATGCGCTGTGCGGGACCGGCAGGGCCCCACCCTGAGCTGAGATGCGGGCTAGGGATGGGTGGGGTAGGGGCGCGATGAGGAGCGCTGGGGAAGGGTACGCTGTGCTGCTTCCTTTTTCCAAGGGGCTGGCATCCTTTCCTGTTCCCCCTTCATCTGGCAACAAGTATGAACTGCGGAATTGAAGGGAGAAGGGCGGGAGACAACTGTTGGTCGCTATCTCCCACGGTCAGGAACCAGGATTGGAGGTCGATTCAGGGGACCTGGAAAGGTCTCCTCTCGTCTCCGAGTGCTTTCCCCTCCCCCTGCTTCCGGGCCCGAGCGGCCTGGGTCTCCTTCGTCCGGCTCCCGGGTAAACACCGGCTCCAGAGAGGTCGAAGAACAGAGACCGGATCAGCCGGTTTCCCGGCCCCACCTCCCGGGGTGCCCCTCCCCCCTTCGCGTGCTTCCGCTCAGCCCGCCTTCCTCCTCCCCCACCAGCCTGGCTCCTCGACCCTGGGGTCGGTTCAGCGGCTGGGATTAGTCGAGCGCCCGGACTAATCCTGGATGAGCCTCCGTGTAAACCCGGATCGACCGTGGGTATAGGGGAGGTCGCAGGCGCCCCTTCATCCATTCCTATACGCGCGGCTTCGCAGAGCCTGAAGCCTCTCCCACCCCGACCCCAGATCCCTTTAATACATTAAGAGACTAGTGGTTGGGTCTGCCCTGAGGGATGGGCTGGTGGGGGGGGAGCGGGAGCGGCGGGGTGGGGGCTGTTGTAAGAAGGAAGAAGCCACCAAGACCAGTCTCAAATATGATGCTCCGGAGCCTGGGGGCTCTGGGAGGCCAAGGAAGGGCTGAGGCCTCTTTGGCAGCCTCTGAATCAGGTCAGCCCTCCAGTTAGTGAGCAACCCAAGGGCCCCCCACCAGTCCTCCAGTTACAGAATCACAAACCCTCCTACCTGACCAGGGTGACCAGTCCCTAACCTTGAGGCCTCACTTGATCAGAGGAGGCAAGCAATCAAGAGGACCTCACATCAGTCCCACTCCAGACTGGGCCAGATAGCTGGAGATAAGGGGCTCCTGTTAAGGCCTAGCCCTGAAAAAGATGTCAGGGGTCAAGAGACGTGGGTTATCCTGCGCCTGGCTAGTTCATTTGTTCTTTAAACATTTCCTGAG